GAAAAAATAGCTGAACGTTGAAAGGCTGTTAAAAATTAAAGAGATTTAAATCCTATAGAAAGCATTAATATACACTGCTAGGTAGAAATCTTGCATAGTCAGTTGCTTGGAGCTGCAGCTATTCTGGATGTCTTTCAAATTTTCTTCATAAAAATTGGAAGCTATTTGCCCAAATTAACATTACAAACTTTAATTCACTGAGCTAAGACAGAAACAAATGAATTTACATTTAATACATTCTTCTTTCCACTCTATCTCATCCACCAGCCTAAAAGGTTGGTGTTCTGCCACCCGATATTCCAGTGCACAATGACATTATCTCTCCCTTTCTACTTTTATCCACTTGCAGATTATAGTTCACACCATGAAGCTCTATGGTGCAATATTTCTAGCCTGAAATAGACTTCTAAAGGCATCCCAGTACCTAATGCTTTTTTTGAACAGTTTTTGAGTTTCAGAAAAATAGGTTAATGTAATGTAAAGCACTAAAGCAAATCATGGCTTGCTCCATTTTTCCACAGGGTTCAAGCTGTCAATGCTGTTCTCAAAGTTCTTGCATATTTTAGCACTTGTGTCTCCATCATCACAGAAAAAAACAGGTTATCAGGAGATTCAGCAGACAAGAGTCTAGGCAAATGGCAAAGTGAAATGGAGCAATAAATCCTACCAGACATCATAGCTGGTATTTATAAGAGATACATAAAGAAGCTTGAAAGTTCTTTGTTTGTTGTTTTGTATCTATTTTTTAAACTGAAATTAATAAGAAAGAAATTTAACAGAAGTTTTCTTCTTTTTTCAGGCAGTTTCTCAGATTTTGCTTTCTCAAAGAACTATGAAATTGCACCATCTACCAACTGTCACTGGATAGACCTGCACAGTATCACAGAAACACCACAGGATTTGAATTCAGACCATATTCAAATGGTATGAAATTTATTATTTCATTCCTTCAGAACTCCCATCTGAAATTCATCTAAACTTGTATGTATGAAACCATACATACACAGCTCAAGCTCCTGCTTCCTACCTTCTCTGTGGCTCAGCTTAGAACACAGCATTTTGCTAAGATGTCCCATCACCCTCTTTAACCAGACAGAAATAGTCAATTGCTTTCTAAAGAGATTTGAGATCAGCACACCATCTTCTTGTATGTCTTTGCTTGTTTTGATACTGAAACCACACACAGTTTCACTCTTCCTACTCTACACAGCACAGCCCCTCTGTGGTTTTCCATTTATTTCACCAGCCTTCCCCTTGATATATTCTGGTGAATTCTTACTTTCCTCCCACTCTTCACAGAAATAAAAGCACTATGTAAAGCTCTCCTTCTTTGTCCTCCCCCTTTTTATACTCTAGACTCAATTCTATGATAGGTGAGATCACGCATATGCAAGGTGAGAGAGCTTGTCTCCTAAGAATGGATGGAATGTGGTCACTTACTTAACATCCTTACCTTCTCTTTTGCTTTTAATGCAAGCCAACTGATTCTGGGTTTATCCCACAGACTGAGTCTCCTTTCCTCAGTTCTTCTAACATGGCCTACATAATTCCTCTGTAGGTTTGCCTTGATGTCATTCTCTACAACCAAACTACTACAGCTAAGTTAAGGAGAATGTAAGACAGACTGGGTAATGAAACATTAGGCTAATGCTCCCATCCTTGAGTCATCCCACAAAAATGCACAAGATGAAGTTTAGCACATGACACACTGGAGCAGTAGCACAGAATCTTAACTACTGCCATTCAGAAGCAGCCAAATGCAGCAACCAAAGGCAACTTCTGAGGGAGCAGCAACACTAAGGATGACTCTTATGCTAAAGTTATTGTTGGATGATGATAGAAGTCACCACCATGTGATGCATGGAAAAAACGCAGAAAATTGCTCAATAATGACTCATGAGACACAAAGAGACGTTCAACTTATGATTTGTTGGGGGGTTTTTTGTAACAAATCTGTGATGCTTTGTAGGTCAGTTATCAGCATCTTATAACAGCCTACACTTTTCCAAGCTACACCCATGCTGATGAACCAGAAAGAAACACCTACAAAAGCAGTACACAGTCCATTTAAATTCTCTGTTTAAGTATCATACCTTTAACAACGATACCTAGCTTTTGCAAAATCAGAAGCAAGTACTGCAGACAGCTAAAGACACTTCCTTGTTCCTTCCAAAAAAGGAAGTTCTCCATATTCTATAGACATGAAGATTAACTATCTTCCCTGAGAGCTTCTTTGATGGAATAAAGAGGGGAAAAAAGATTTCACTAGCAAAATCACTGGGGAAAACAAACATAATCTATATGATGGTTTTCAAGACTTGGAAAGTTGGCAATAACTCCTGGCTAAAAAATGTAGTGTGATAGCAGACAAAAAGAAAAGAACCCCAATAATCTAAACATTCTTAAGTGTGTTCTTCAGAGGATCTGTCCGTGTTTGTGCCACTCTTACAGTGTTCAGTGTAATCACCCATCAGGGAAACTGATGTTCCAATTAACAGGTCAAATCACAAAAGACCATTCATGCAAATAATCAGTCCTTAAAAAGAATCATCAATAAAACTGTACTTGCCAAATGTTCAGACAACATGCAAAGAAATGTGTACTTTTAATGTTGGCTGCCAAGCTTCACATTGTCTTTAATGTTATTATCACTGTAATAAATCTATATTTCTCAGTTTTAGATCTGCATTTTTCCTAAAACAGCTTAAAAATCTAGTTACATTTCTGTAATGTAACTCCAGTATAAAACTGCTCTTCCTCAAAGCACTTTTTCTAGGTTTTACTGCCTATATTCTCATTGAAGATGTTTTATTGTTTTTCTAGCACACCTTTGTCTTTAAGGTCAAGTTTAGTATTAATAACTGACTTCACCTGACTACGCTCTAAAACATCTAACATTTATTATGTTGGATAGTTTGTTTCAGATTCTTTGGTACCACTGAAAGTTAGACACAACAGTTAAGTTATCCAGTAACAATTCTTTGTTTAATCTGTATTATAGGCAGCATTTCCCTTATGAGAGCTGCAAGCATGCTATCAGTTAAGCAAACAGTATTTCCATGTCTGAGCACCTTCATGAGCAAATCCCCAAACATATAAAACACTAACACATTTTTCATGTCGGAAATCAGCTAGATAGCCATCAGTCTCTCAGCACAGCCATGCAATTACAGCACAGGGCCACATTAGAAACATGCACAAAACACCAGTACATGAAGGGCCTGCTTCCTGAGACACAGTAATAAACCTAAGCATCTATTTCACACAAGTCCAGGATCCCTCCATGAATTGTTTGTAAATGTTCCTTGGACTAAAGCTGCATTTTTAGAATGTCCTCTTTCTCCTACACAGTAGAAGACTCCACAACAGTAGCTGTTTATATCAACTTTTTTATTTCTCAACCAGAAATACATTTTTATTATTTCAATAAACAGTAGTGTTTATTCCTTAAACAAAATCCCCATCTCTTTGGCATCTGACCATATTTTGTTTCTCAAACTAAAGACTATATAGGAAGACCTTATTTTCAAGATCACTGTTCAGTACATGAAATTTACATAGGTGTAGTTATCTGCCAAAAATACACACTGGCATTTTGTAAGTTTTCTAATAAACCTAAAAAATGATAACGAAACCACAAAATGCACACTGCTGGGCTGCCTTCATTTAAAACTGTGAAGTCAGTGACAGAATAAGAAACTCCTCATTTTCCGTATCACATGCACTAACTAGTGCTTTCTATTCATTCTGAGTGAAAAACAAACAAAATCCTAATCCTACCAGAAACAACTGATCAAATAACGTATGTTTCAAAACAGCACAATCTTTAACTTCTGCAGAGGTCATCAGCCAAAATCAAGTTGCACACTGCTGCAGTAAAAGATTACACCTAAAAATACTATGGAACCTATTTTTCATTTTAAAACGTAAGTTACAAAAATGTTTTAATGCACCTAGGAATACAGTTGTCAAAACTGCATTTGATGTCATGTTTGGACAAAAATTTATTAAGTAACAGAAGTAATCCAGTGTATTCAATCTACTCCGTTGAGCAACACAGAAATACTTCACTTCCACTCTGTCACAATAAAAATCAGCCCTCCAGATCTCAAATGTTCAGTGCTTCAAGTCAACAGAATTTCCAAACCAATGCTGAAATTATTTTACACCCTCTGTTACTATAGATGATACAGAAATCACAAATTAAAACATTACTGAGATACCAGTGCAGACATTCCAGTCTGTGTCAAGACAATGTAAAAAATAAAATCAACTAACCAAAACAAAAAACCTCTCTCCAAGGAGATTTGCTTTTAATAACCCAAATAATTACTCTGAACATGTTTTATAGAATAGAAAAGGCAGAGCAAGTACTTCCATGCAGAGACTAAAAAATAATTTAAAAGGATTCAAGTAGCAAAGGTTTGTTTTTATGAGTGAATCTCACCCTCATCACCTGTACAAGCACAGTCGGAAAATGCTTGAACTGGATTGTTTTAACACCATGTTGTAATAAAACCCCACTATATTTTACTATAGAATACAGAAACAAAAGGTAGAACCAAAAAACCTCCTTAACTTGTGTACTTATCCAAGAGCAGTTTCTAACATCAAGCCAAAATCAGCAACAACCAAGCAGACATCACCAATTTTTCAGTGTTAAAGTACCATAAATACTAGATCTAACTGTACAAAAACAAAAATAAAAATCCCAATGCCAAAAATCAGGAGTTTCTTTTGTTTGTTAAAATGTGTCCAAAAAAATATCCACTAGTTGTAGACAAATTGGCATCAGAAGCTGCTTGCTCAGGAAAGATTTCTCCCTCCAAGTATTTGTAACACATTGCATTGCCAAGACTCTATTCAAATAAATTGCTTTCTGATAATGTTTAGCTCATACAACCACCTACAATGTGAACAGTCATGTACACAGTACAACAGCGGATTTTTGCAGCAACAGAGAAAGGACCAGAAATCATTTCTAAATTTGAGATGACAGCTCATGTGCTATTTCTTGCAAACATACGGTCCCCTCTAAGGGTGAGGTGTTGGAGCTGGTATTGTAGCACTTCTGTGTCAGCAGGTTCCTTAATGCTCATTTTGTCTAAGTTGAGGTAGTCTAGGGATTTTGAATGAGCCCTTTTACCTTTCAAAAGGCAGAGGGGCAGGGGACCATGTAAAACCTTATTGCATTTATCCCCTGAGCTGGGCATCCGCCTCCTCCTCCTTCCATTTACTGCTGGGATCTCATATGGCTGATAGTACCTACTTCTAGTTTTGTACAAACGGGAGGAACGTGCGAGCCCTGAATCCAGCTGTCTGGAGCACAAGTTCAGCCCAGATTCCCCTTTATTCTCTTCACTTCCTGTACACTTCTGGGCTAATTTTAGCAGCTCCTCTCCAGTTGTGAAGCCAACCAGGTAGTTAGAATCCATGTGGAGGATCTGATATCCCGCAACTGTCTGCCGCATTGGTGAGCAGGGGGTACTGGAACAGCGGGGCTTTTCTGCTTCCATCCTGCTTGCAGAGCTCACCTCTGCAAGAGGCACAGGGAGGGTGGACAAGGAAGTTCTGGACTCTCCATTTACATCAACTTCCATTTTAAACACAATGCTATCCTCCTAGAAATAAAACAGAGCTTGGTCAGAAAATAGAGCCTTTATGCAACACGACAAGCTGAGAGAGTATCACAGAAATGAGATTTTGCATCACCCAGAAGTCATGACCATTCCTTCTCTATTCAGCCTTGTCTTATGATCTGCAGGGTGTCACACCACCTATCAACTTATGATCAACAAACACATACTCTCTTTTATTCCATTAGGATTCCAATGTGTTTCTAACAAAGTATACTGTGTTTAATGAATATAGCATTAGATTTTCTTAAGAATAACCAGTACTTACTTGTTTTTCCTACTCCTCTTGCAAACAGACTATTTTGCCCTGACCTTTCTTCCCTCACAATTACACATTGTTTGGTGCCTTTACACACACAACTGCCTTCCACAAGCCATTACCATCTCTAACATGGAAAGATATGGTCATTATCAGAGCAAATATACACCAGTAGATGCCAGAACACAGGGAAGCCTTTTTTTTTTTCATTTCTTTGTTTTCGGCATCTTCTAAACTGTGTCAGTGACACGGCTACTTCACAAAATAAAAAGGTCACATTTGTTCCCAACATCAATGCTTTTCTTCATTGTCAGCCTCACCTTTGCTCTAAAGGGTACCTAGTGGCTCTCTAGTCAATATAATTCACAAAAAACTTCAGTATAGTCATGCCATGTTTAAAGGCAAAGAGATACAAAGAAGCAAGGAAAATTAGTATCCGAGTGTCAGGCAAAACCAATTCTATAATCATAAACCACATTCAAAAAGCTTGGTAATGTTTCACATATGAGGCTAACTTAAAACATGCTATGAACAGTTTGCAAGCATTTAAAGCTGCTACTTGCTGTCATTATGAGGCTGAGGAGGTCACAGGCCAGGTAGCAAACAAAGATGCAAAAACAAGGCAATATTTTATTCTATCTTCTGCAATTATATACCCCCCAAAATCCCATCAATATGAATCTCCATGAATTTGTTTTGAAATAAGAGAGGAAGCTGTGTGCGAATATCACTTGCAAAGAAAACCTAGTCTTATGCAAAATTTAAGCCTGCCTTGTTTCTGTTCAGGGACTGAGAAGGAGCAGTTCAAATAATGTTCCCATCTCTGCTTCCCTGCTTAGTGTTAAATCAACCTGCTGCTTTCTTATGCTAATAAATTAGGAGTAAACAAAATCCCCACAGTTCCATTGAAGGGGATTATTTGCCATTAGCAAGTTTCTACTGTGGAGAGACTATTGCTAATGTTCCTTCAGTCTTAAATGTTGTTTTTTCCATTCTCACAATCATGGCCTATTTAGGATTCCTCACTGTGGCATAACTTTTACAGATGCACTTCTTCAGTCAGTTTTTAAGCATTTTGGGGTTGGAATAGACAATCTGGGGTTTGACTAGATTATCTCCAGAGGTTCTCTTCAACACCAACAATTCTGTGATTCTGTGAATTAAACAATACAGGTAATACAGCAAAAGCTAAATAAAGAATTAAAATACTGAAGCAAAAAAAACAAACTAATTTTTTTCACTGAAAAAAGTCTGCATAAACTCAGTAATGTTGCCTGATACATTTAATTGAATCAAATATCTATTTATGGAGTCAATTGAAACTTTCCAAATAGCAGAATCAGTTGTTGTTTCCTACTTTAGCACCACATCAAGGAGTGAGACAATAAATCTGGTGAAGTTTCAGCCACTGAGACAAAGGTATTATGACAATTCCTTAAGTAGAAATTATGCACCATCAGGAACCATGATTAGTGGAGGCACAACACACAAGAATTTTGCATTAAAACTTTCAGCCACCCTGTGCTTTTAATCAATAAACCTAAACATATGCCTGTTTTTGTTTTTCTAATTCCCAATTTTTACCCTGCAGTTTAGAAATCTTTCCAGGAACCTTCCAGAAAGACTCACCTTGTTCTGTTAAAAGTAATTGCAACAATGTTAGAAAAAGTATAAATAAAATACTCATGCAGAAAGGTTAGAAATTAATCATATTATCTAGTCACATATAAACAGCAAAACCAACAAAAAAGCCCTGAAACAATCACTTGCTAGAGAAGTATGTGCCCCAAGGAACTGGAAGGAGGAAGAGATGTCTTCATGCAGTTTTTTAAAGTTAAAAAAGTCTTGAGAACTTGAAAGCAACACAAAAGGCTCTTCTCAGAAAACAGCTTTTTTAAGTAATTTACTTCTCTCTGAAACGCGTGCTCTGGTAAAAGAGAGCAATCAGCCTAGACAAATAACCAACCAGGAGG